TCCTTATATTTGTTGTAGTTTGTAGAAATAAATAGAAAGGATTACTTCCAGAATGTCTCTTGTAAATTTTAAAAAGACAGCAATTGTGTGTAATGGTGAGATATCTTTCATTAATTTTTATTAAAAGAATGATCAACAGGATGTTTCTAATAAAGAAAGGATTTATTTTGCAATAGAGTTAGAATATCAAGTGTTTAAGAAAAATGTCAAGATTTCACAGTACACTGTTGATTCATGACTTCAAGCCTGGGCCAACACATGAAAATACCCACTTTTATAGATACAAAATCCCAGAACATGAACAGAATAGCAATAAGTTTACCTTCAATGTAGTTTCAAGTTTAGACAAAGACTATGCTTCAAATTCATTTTCAAAGTGAGCAGTCTTTCTCTATCTCTCCCTCCTGAACCAAAAGTCACTTAGCACATTCAGATTATATATATATATATATATATATATATATATATATATATATATATATATATATATGATTAAATAGTAACTTAGCTAATTGATGTTATATTTAGCACCTCAAGTCTGGAGTTCCATTTAGTAATTGTTCTGTCCACTCATCAGGCAGTTTAAGCAATTGTCTGCAGATTCACATTTTCATTATTTTTATATTAAGTTACAACTTAATTTATATTATTTACATTATTTGGACTATTGTCCTCCTCTTTGTCACCATATTTATTCCAACGTTTCGTTTCGGCCGTTGTACGCTCTGGCCTTCTTTAGGTGGTCGGAATGTCAAACTGAATCCTTTATTTTGCTCACTGAAGTAGACTGTCCTATTTCCACATGCCATGTTTAATGGATGTCAGTTATCAGTTATCTCCTGTTAATCAGTTTCCCTCAAAGTTCTCCACTGCCTTAACCTTGAGGACACATGGCACAGTGGATAAAGGCGTTGATTAGATCCAGTGACAGGACCCAAAGAGTGTGAGTTCAATACTCGGTTAAGGCAGTGGTGAACTTTCAGAGGGAGATTAATTAACAGGAGATAACTGATAACCGACATCCATTAAACATGGCACATGGAACTAGAACAGTCTACCCCAGTGAGTGAAATAAAGGGTTCAGTTCGACATTCCAACCACCTGAAGAAGGCCGGAGCGTACAACAGCCGAAACGCTGTGATAAATATGGCGACAAAGATGATAACAATAGTCCGAATAATGTAAATAATGTGCATAATACCTCATCTCAGAAATATAGACAAATTAATTTATGTTCTAGTTATTGGTGTGTGTGTGTGTGTGGAATGTCATGATTATTTATCTTTTTTCATCATTTTCAGCATTCTTTTTTTCTCTCTTTCAGTTCTAAATGCCAAAGATGATATAACTGTCATTTCCAGTATTACAAAGAAGATTTATTTTTTGGGTAATTCATTTTCTTGAATGTTCTAGGGATTTTCTTAAGTTGGGATTGTTGGATAAATATAGATGTGTATGTGTGTGTATGAATATATATTTTCTTTTTTAATTAATGATTAAATGGCAAATAAATGTTTGTGTCTTCACTTATCCGTTATAACATTAAATTGACATATTACACTTGAAGTTAACAAGGAAACCTTTTGCAAATTTACAAAATAAAAAAAAATATTGTTTATTATTTACAGTGTAAAATAATTCTTTTACAAGCAAATATGACAAGGCAGTGTATAAAATTTTGTTTACAGATTCTCTGCAGTTTGATTTTAAGTTTTGCAATGTTTTATTCTAAAAATGTAAGAAAAGGATAAATTTTTTAAAAAAATCCAATCTGACAAATGCATGGCTGTGTACCAAATGTGTAAAAATATGATCTCAAAACTATAGTATTTAATGGAATCCCAAGCTTGTGAATCTTGTTAAATACATCAAAGAAAACAAATTATTACAGATTTCACCAATGAAACATCTTCAGGTCATCAAAAGCCAAATAACAATGCTCTTCAGATAAGTTTCAATATATTTGAAGTAACAGTTTGAGGATAGTCATCTTCTATGTGCTGTGTCTCTTCAGAATGTTGACCATGGCACTCCACAATCTTTTGTCCTTTGCCAATCTTAAGTTTCATAAGTATTGTCATGTCTCCTCCTTGCCTTCAAAAAGTCTAGTGAGTATCAAATTTTCCAAGCCCTTTCCTCATATTCTAGAAATTTCAACTTTCTCTTTCTGATGTTAATTATAAGTGTCTTTTTTATTTCCATTTTCTCAAAAAACTTTGTTGCTCACATGTTCAGTCCATGATATTCTCAGTATCCTTCTGTAGGACCACATTTCGGTTGCTTCAAGTTTCTTCTTCATCCATGAGCAGATTGTCCACCATTCACTGCCATATAATAGGACTGATGTTGCATGATACTCAATACTTTGGCAAAAAATTCAAATAAAAGAATCTTTTAAACATAAGTCAAATTCCCGTCAAATACTTAACATTTCTAGGGCAAATATATTCAGAAATACGTGATATAACTTCTCAAAATTGTAAAAAATTGTTTCATGATAAAAAGTGTATACAAGTCAGCCATAAGTTACAGATTCCATTCTTTTACAGTTTCACACATTACAGCGGTATATAACAAATGGATAAGACATTGGTAATAGTACCAACCACAATCATTTATTAAATGTTGATGCCTTAAAAGAAACAAGATTATGAAACTTAAAGCTACCTGTTTACCATATGGCTATATGAAAATATATGAGTACTGGTATAAAACTGAACATGAAAAATTGAGGTCTCTTTCTCAATTAAAATCTACACCTTTAGCAACCATTGCTTATGAAGTTAACTTCATTTTTTTTTTTTAAATTTAATTATATTCGCCAAAATTATTTATCACTAAGTCCTTTTATTAACAAAACTGGCATGACAAAATGGTTGGCAGACTGTAAAAAGGTAAACGATTCTCTCTTGCTTATTCCTTTTATGTTTTTTAAGGGAAAAAACTAATTAGCAATTAACAAACCTGGATTTATCTCCTTTAACCACATTGTCAATTTATACTTGGGGTTTTAGAACAAAAAAAAAACAAAACAAAACAAAAAAAAACAAAAAAAAAAAAAAAAACACAAACACTCTGAAACTAGTGGCCTGACTGGATTGTAAATTGCTTTTGTCTTCAAGATTTCAATAGGATAGCACTGACATGCTGTTTTTACAGTGCTATGGTAATGAAAGACAAGCATATAGAAATTGAAATTGGTTATCATATAGATATGAGGGTGGGAGATGAAAAGTTTTAGTCTGACTCACTTCCCAAAATCTGACCAAATATTTAAATATACCTACTCCTGACAAAATATTTGCAGGTACTTAACTAAAAGTAACAAGAGAAGAAGAGTGTATCTTGAGTAAACAATATAAAAAAAAGAGGAGGTATTTTAAAACGATATCCACCTTTTCATCCACATTGAAAATATAAAATCAAGAAATGTGGGGAGGGGGTGCAAAATTTATTATCCTTTTAAGCTGTTATTCTGGGTTGATAATTGTAAACATAATTGTCCAAATCTCACAGAAAAGTCACTTTCCTAAATTAAAAATAGCCAGTTTAAATGATTTTTAAAAAAAAATTACTATGCAATTTAACAAATACAAATTTGGTTTTATCAGCTACCAGAAAACACAATGTTAACACAATGTTAATAGTGCAGTTTTTAAATGCTATGACTAATTTCTCTCTGAATTTCTGAGTACTATTGTCCTTTGTTGTTATCAAAGTTTCAGCTGTTGTGCCCTCTGGAAAATTTCAAAAAACATCTATATATCACAAGCTAACCATCACCAGACAATGCCTCATACAGTGCGAAGAAAGGGATTATCCAATGCCTACTACACAGTACAAAAATCATAACTTGGTGACCTGGACATATACCCACAGGAAGTAATCAGCATCAAGTGTACCCTCCAAAATAGCAAGTACCCTGCAAACATAGCATCAGCATCTACAATTGGAAACAGATCAAGGATGAGAACCAGAAAATTGTCACAGTATCTCCCATACATCAAGATTAAGAAAATCTGCAGTTCATGTAACATTAGGACAATATTCAGAAACAGTTCCACTCTATGGAGAAATCTCTACTGGGTCAAGCCTAACATGGAGGAAGAATATGACCAAGAACTATATGTACTCCATTCCTTGCAGTTATGGCAAAGAATATAAAGGCAAAACTAGTCTCCCACTAAAAGTAAGGCTGAAGAAACATAAAAAAACTGTAATGAGAGGAGGAATAATGAAAACAGGCATGGCTAATCATGTACAGTGGAATGAAGTGGAACACTGGAGAGTTAGTCTGAAAGAATCAATGTATATACTAGGATCTCCTTAGTAGGCTGAGCATAGAAAAAAAATACAATACGAGAACTGCTAATAAAGAAAGATGAATGACCGGTTTTCAACAGCTTTTTTTGTTACATAGATATTCACTAAAGATCTGAGTATGTTCTTACACAGATCATTAAAGTAGAAAAAGAATAGGACCGAGAAGAAAGCTATGGGAAATGCTGGCATTGATCTCATGGGCTTCCGATGAATGGTCATTAACAACAATCTTCATGGACTTACCTGTTAGGAAGTACTTGATAACTGAGAAACCTCATTCAGAGATGCCATCGCTGAAGAATTTATGCAGCAAACCCAGATGCCACACTTGTCAAATGACTTTGATATATCTAGGGATTTTATTTTTATTTCTTCTTTATATGATATATACATGCCAAGAATAGAACAAGGATTTCCCGCCAAAGATGAAATTAGATTGCTGGAAAACAAGTATTAACCACAACACTGTGCAAGGCAAAGTGGAGACCAGGTGTAAATTTAAAAAGGAACACGTTATGTTGTTTGGCATTGAACATGTTAAGTTCTTTATTAAATAGATTGGTAACCTAATTTTTTTTTTCAAAATCCATAGTGTTGGTTGTTTTGCTTAGCAGCATATCAGCCTCTATAGGTAATTTAATGCCAAAATCTAAGTATTTTGTACACAAATTTTTTTCAAGTATTCCCAAGTGATCACCCATCTAGGTACTGACTAGGCTTTACATTGCTTAACTTTGGTGATTGTATGGGAACTGGTGTTTTGTGATATGGCTGTAAACTTAAATTCATAGTGTGTAAGTGTGCACATGAAAATTTTTCCTGCCACTATTTTATTTTCTTCTATGACCTTGAGAAGAAATTCATACAGCCAATTTAAAGCATTTAGAAAATATGGCAACAGTTAAAATGGCCTAGAAATTTTTGAGCTGAAAAATATTTATAAAAAACTCACCACAAGACAATCCTATGACACATCAATAACTGCCCATCAACAAAGCACAAACTATTTCAACTCTGTTTTTGTTTACTTATGCTTGAAGATAGAATTGCCATAGACCAAGAGATACAGTCTGCTTAGAGGATTTGATTGTTGGTTTTAAAGGCATATTAACCTCAGGTCATTTTCTTTAGAGGAAGAGAATAATATAAATACCACAAAATGCTAGCATTGTCTTACAAATACATTGCCAATCTCTGTTGTAAACACCTGCAGTTTATACAGCAACTATGTTGAGTGGGCCATTAGTTATAGTTTCTAGAAGAGAGTAACTGTACATGATTAGCACAACACCAATATGTTGAAACTCTTAGTCATGATAACTTCTGATTGTGCTAGCACAACCAGATGCCTTTTCACCAGTTCAGTTATAAGGCTTGGGTCAAGCTGTGGATATGATTTTCTGGTATTTTCAAAAAGGTGCGATTGCTGGGATTGCCTCCCCAGGCCAATATCATCAAGAAGTGACTCTTCTGAAAAATCAACCAAAGTGAGATACACACCTGGGTCTCATGATTGGAAAGCAAAAATTCTGCCTATATATATATATATATATATATGGTTAGAACTGTGTAGCGAAAAAAAACATTTTAAATCAATTTATAATTGAGATATATATATATATATATATATATATATATATATATATATATATATATATATATATATATTAAATAATGCCATTTATACAAAATTTTCCAACATTCCTTCCTTGTTAGTATACATAATCCAACATTTCATTTATTAAAAGGAGTGAAAATTTCATATCCACAATTCTGCTGTAGTAAATTGTGAGACCGCAAGTCTACCAAACCCTTCCTCACATATAGTCCACCGTGCTATACATGTGGTCAACCAATATGCTGGAACCCATTTCCGGGAGTGCTACACACAATGATATCAAGAATGTTTCTGGTTCTCCTGACTGGCTTAGTTACAACATTGCTAATAACTGTCAGGCCTTAGATTGAGTCATTTTTGTGCCTGTTGTGTCCTAAACTCAGTTAAATTCACACGGCTTTTAATCCTATGTTTGAATTATAAGTCCCTAGTGTATGTGTGTGTGAGAGAGAGGGTGTCCTTCTCGATATGCAAATCAGAGTAACCAAGGAGACAAAGAAAACATGGTATTTATTTGGATTGCTTTCCTTCAATTTAACTGAAATAGCTTTGAAAATGAAGATTCTGTCAAAACTTTGGGTTTTGAGATACAAGAAAAGTTGATTCTCAACTTTTTCCCTATTTTTCTGGATATAAAGTTTTATATGAAATTCATCAAATGAGTCAGATTTAAAAATATGTAAAATTCTATATTCACCAAATGAAATAAAAAAAATCATGCCGAACAATCAAAGCATTTTACTATCAGTCCTTTGGGGGGTTATTTAAAATTGAATTGTAACTGATTTTTGTGAATGAATAGTGCATTAACAATTTTTTTGAGGATAACTTTTCCAGTTACAACTATTTAACATGCAGAGGGAAGAGATAGACTCATACCTTTCTCAAGGATATCTGCACATAAGTGAATATAACAAATTTGACTGGAATTTAAACTTTCTAATTTTTGTCCAAGACACTATCACTGAAACCACTCAGATCCTCTTAGAACAAAGCTGATTGTCAGTTATGTCACTGTGTGTGTGTGTGTATTATATATATAACATCCTGGCTGATTTGAAAGTATTATATTAGTTCAGCTATGACCACAATTCAGAATTAGCAGAATATACAAGTAGTTAATTTCAAATATCAGCTAAACTATTTTGTTTTTTTAGTTGTCAGTAAAAATGAATTTGAAGGTGATGGCTGAAACATGAATTCTCTTAAAAAAAAGTTGCCAATAATTATGGACTTTCTCAAGTAATGAATCATTTATTAGGTATGTGCAGTTATATGTCTAACTTTTCTTTTTAAGAAAAAATTTAAAAGCTTACAGCTTCTTCCTTCTCTAGTATAATAATAAAAAAGCCGAGAACTTTTGTGCATACCTAATATTTTCAAGATTGTTTTGGGCAAGTTGACAGCAATATTTAGGTTTTGTAAAGGCAGTGCAATCCAAAATCAAAAAGTACCATTATCTTTGATGCTGAGGTGAACCAATCACTGATAAATCCAAAGTAAACTTTTCCTTATTTTATTTCACATTGTAAGAGTAGGGATCAAACAATCATCATTATCACCAAACCATATAATTATCAATGTGTATTTATGTATTTCCTGTCCCAGTGGGATGGGAGGTAAATCAACTTAAGTTAGTAAATTTATAAGTGATTACTACCCTTAGTCATTTTAATAATCTATACAAATAAAATCTGTATTTAGACAAAATTAGTTCCCAAGCTAAATGATCTGTTTAATTAATTTGTTTACTCATGTTTCTTAGATTGTAGTTTTATTTGTTCAAGCCTTTCATAGGTGGCACCCATATCTTTATTAAGAGATTGTCTTGCTCCAATTTGGTCTTGAAATAGGCTTTGTTGTCACTGTCATTCTGTTGACAATTATTTTCTTCAGAGTGATATTTCCATTCATTGTTCTATTAAGTGCATATTATTTTTAACAAGATAAAAAAAAAAAAAGAAACAATTTATATAATACCAAGAGTAATCAATGAATCAGATACCAATGAATTTCTAAAAAATATAATAGTAACGGATTAATTAAATAGTTCATCAGCCTCTATTTTAGTTGTGAATTCTTTATATTTTATTGAATCTCAATACATTGTTTTAAGGCTCTTCGTTTCATTGCATCTTGCTATTAACACTAACAACTGACATCATTTTTGACAGCACAGGTACACTGGTATATAAAATAATAATTAAGAAAGAAAATTTGCTTAAGTACTTGAGCTTCAGGGGGCTATCTATCCCCACACACCGTGGGCATCACCTTTCCATTGAGAGAGGGACCAGGGTCATTACCCTGGAACTTGAAGCATCCTCAAAAGGGGAAGTGCCAAATGGGCTGCAGCAAATTTTGTACTGATACTGGACAACTTTTAACTGGACCTTGTGTTATTCTGCTCAATGTGTGTGTTAAATATCAACTGGACTGGATTTAACATCTCTAAGAATACTGTGGAAGCATTGGTTATGAGAAACAAGTTAAAGATTCAAATTGAATAGAAATTTGAGAAAATGAGCATCGAACAAAATTTTTAAAATAGAAAACTTGGAATTTGTAAAGATGACAGTTATTAAAACAGGCATATATTTGATCTGACAAGAATATATTTTTTGTTTCATAAAAGCAGCACTTGTTTGTATATGGCAATCAAAAATGAGGTGAAATTTAAGATTTTTAAGCTCTTGTATAAAAAGCATGCAACATAATTCCTTATAGCAATAAAAAAATTGTACTTAAATCATACTCAAAGTCCACACAAGAAAGGAATCGTAATGTAATTTAAAATGATTCAGCTTTTCAATCATCAAATAGCTATTTATGATTAAGTCATGACCACTGAGAAGAGAGAGAAAAAAAATTTAGAAATGAAGGTTGTTGTCACAATTTTAGTTTGATATTGAATATTGGACATTATTCATTTGGTTTAGCAAGAACTGACTCAGCTGAACAAGTAAACATTACTTTCCCATAGAACTGCAGTTACTTTGATTTTTTCGTCAAGTTTTTTTTTTTTTTTTTAATGACATCTTAGTGACAAATTTTATTTGTATTAATCCTATTAATGCACTATCTGGTCTCGAGCACTTTATTGCAAAGACTACTTGTCTTAAATATTCTTTCTTTCAGATAACCACTGCCAGCATTTCTGGTTTTACACTGTGTTATCACTATTGTTTTAATGAGTCTATATGCAAAATTCATAGTATGACAAAACATTCTACACAAAAACAATTTTATTTGATAGATATTTCCTTAAATACTATAACTGTACAGAGCAACCTTGGTTCTCAAACATCTCACATGTTGAACAAATCTGTTTTTGAACAGAAAAATTCTAGATCAAAATGCCTTGGTTATCAAACAAAATTTTGGTTCTTGAACAACACTGTTAATCCAAGTTAATCCGAGCAGAATCATTTCTGAGTCAATCGCTGTAGTGTAAATATTCATGTGTTGTGCTGCGCTTTTTTCCAATTTTATTGTACTGTACCTTTTTTTTTTCTCATCATTAACCCTTAGTCATGACCTCAAAGAAAGCTAGCAGTGATACTGGTAAAGGAAAAAGAAAATTTGAGAGAAAAACAATTGAAGTGAAAAAAGAAATCATCGCAAAACATGAAAATGGCTTTCGCGTGTCAGATCTCCCTGTGCAGTACAATATGCCTAAAGTGACAATATCTACTATTCTAAAAAAATAAGGAAGTGTTAAAAGCAGCTGATGTTGCAAAAGGAGTGACTGTTATTAGTAAACAAAGACCAAAGTTGAAAAGTAATTGCTTATTTTTATGAGAAACAGTAGGTGACAGTATCAGTGAAGCATTTATTTGTGAGAAAGCATTAGAAATTTATAATGATCTAGTAAAGAAAACCCCTGGTACAAGTTCTGAAAATGATACTTTTGAATTCAAAGCTAGAAGAGGCTGGTTTGAGAAGTGAAACAGTTTTTTTTTAGGAAAATATCACCCTAATACAGTGGTAGCAAATAGAACAGTAAACCTTTTCGAGGACCATGTCATATCTCATTTTAAAAAAATTTTACAATGCAGGCAAAAACAAGTCACATTGGACAGGTTTTTACTGAAGTAAAAAAGAAAAACCCCAGAGAAAGATTTACCTGAGCCAAAGAGACAGAAGGGAA